AGAGAGATACATAACAAAAACACAAATGGTGGATGAGTATGTGAATGAGCATGCGAGTGACGACTCCTCGGGGTGCAGTGCCGCCAGCGCGGCGTCGGTCAGGCGGCCCTCGGCGTCGGCTTTCTGGAGCAGCTTGTCCTGGGGACAGGCGCCGCGGGGGGCATGCGGCATCGGGCAGTGGGCAGCGATGTCCTCAGCGACCCTGGAAGATGGAAAGATAGGGAAACAAATGGGGGAAAGGAAAGGGAAAGGGAGGAGGCAAAGGTGGCGGAGCTGGGTAAGTAAGGGTGGATACGTAGCACCCCGCAGTTGCAGATGGCGACCCGCCCGCGACCCCCCGCGCCGCGACCCGCGACCCAGACCGCGACCCTTGAGCCACGCCCCCGGGGGCACTGAATGACCGTTCGGCACCCTTATTCTGACTATGGGGTCTCCTCACGCGCATCAATGTCGGCGTCCCCCAGCTCTACCTGCTCGGCTTCAACGAGACCTTCCATTCCCCCGTCGACGTTGGGCCCCAGCTCGAAAGCCTCTAACAGGTCAGCGTAGATATCATCCATCGCCCCGCCTGAATTCAAAATCTCATCGAGCTCGGACGGGTGGCCCTCCAAGGCGGCGGGGGCAGCCGCGACGCCCTTTTTGTCTTTGATCTCAAGCAGGCGGCCGGGCAAGAGCGTTACGAGCTCGGTCCCGGCAGGGAGGGGCTCGATTGATTTATCGTTTTTATTCCAAGAGGACCAGTTTATATCATGCGAGCAAAAAGCCATGTTGCCATCGTAAGCTGGGGACTGAACGTGATCGTAATAATGTTTGAAGAGGTCAACCGAAGCAACAGTCTGAAGGGGATGCAAGATTCGAGGGCGGCCGTCATCCGCCACTTGCCAAACAACAAAGAACATGATCGATCTGACCGAATCGGCCTTGAAGAACAGAAAATCATTCGGCTTGAGGCCCCCAGAGCCCATGGAATATATCTTCTTGAAATCAGGTGTCCCATCATCTCGAATGTGTTTCTGAACAATCTTGGTGTGCGCAGCTGCCCAATTCAATGCTATGTCAGAGCGCATGTCTGGGTAAGTAACATGATCGCACTGATTCATGGTTATAGATACTTGCAAATTATCAGGAAGGTCAGTCAACAACTTGGCATGTGCGAATCGGCCCGGTGCGAAAATGACGGATCGTAACTTGATTTTCTGTTTGCTGTATGGCACCAATTGTCCGCGTAACTCTTCGCCTGCCCTCAACTTCTCCCGAGCACTCTTCCCCTGGCTCTCTTTAGTACCCACGTTAAGATCACACTTCAGGTTCACGCGAGCATTGAGCAAATCCGCTGATATAATTGGAGCCTGTCGGGCCTGCGTCTTGATAAGCGAATTATATCCTTCGACATCCTCCGTGTCCACGTGCAAGTGCTGGGCCATCGACGTGAGTGCGGCCGTGAGCTTCGGCCTCCCCCCCGACCAGGGCCCCCTCACGCATTGGCCTCTCGCTCCATCCCCACCCGTGCCCCAGGCGATCGCGCGCGACATCATCCAGGCCAATGCCCCGACTCACAAGAGCAGCTGGAGGCCATCGATTGCCCCCTGCCCTCGCGGGGGCACCGAGGAGGGGGGCAGACGAAGCGCACGGGCAGGCCCGAGCAGCAGCAGCAACGCACGGACGTGACGCTCGCAATGCCGCACCCGCCCCTGCCCGCCCGAGAACGCCCGAGAACGCGGCCAGCTCTAAGTCGGGCTCGTAGTTCACTCTCACCTTGAATACGTTCACTTCCAAACGAGATGGGTCCGAGTCCAAGATCTCTCGAGCCAGGAGCCGCCGCACTGCACACGGCTTGAACGGGTGGGTCCTCAAGAGAAGCAGAAGCCTGCACGGCCACCTGGGAGCGGGTCGGGGCCCCAAACTTCTCTCCCTCGGGCCAGGGCGGAGGAGGAGGAGGAACATGGGGGTGGGCCGTGGGGGTGAAGAAGGAGGAGGAGGCGGAGGAGGATCACGATCACACACACATGGTATATAGATACATACCATAATGACATATACATATATATATATATATATATACATGCATGTAATGTATAGAGGCTGCCCAAACCCCTCGCTGACCTCATCAGCGGGACGCGGATGCGGCGATGGAAAGACACGAAATGGAAAAGCACCAAGCCCACATGTATCCGCTCAACTTGCATGGCCTCGACGGCTGAAAGTTGACCTGCTGTATCTCCGTCCACTGGCGGTGCACACAGTAGGTTCGCAAAGTCACTGCATAAGTCGTCCAGCTTGCCATTCACGAGACGATATAAGGGCGAGGTCTCGATGTCGTCCCCAAATGATGATTCAGCCTCGAGTGGTTGTTTTTAAATAAGGGGTTACCGCTGCCGCGGCTGGACACGGCTCGGAAAACCTGCCAGGATGGCCGCCCCTCTGCCCCCCGCGGGCCCCGGCCTTGGCCTTGCTGAGCCAATGGAAAAAATGATCCATCGGCCCGCGAGCTCGATGGATGATGTCTTCACACGTCCAAAAGAACACCTCCCCACTCGCGTTCACGACGTCCGTGCGCCACCGAGTCATTTTGGCACTGTATGCTTGGGTATCGTGGAGTTGCAACTCCATCTCCCCCTCCAGAGCAGATCCGTCGCCTAGCGCCAGCGCGCCGCCGGCCGCGGCGACCGCGTCGCCAGCGTCGTCGGCCTCGGCGACGGGCACCTCTCCGCCTGCGCGGGGGGGAGGGGCAGGACGGCCAGGGGTCGGCCGCGGAGGAATTCGGGCCAGCAGATGGGGCGGAGGCAGAGGCAGGGGGAGGTTGGAGAGATCTGGCCCTCATATTTCCTTTCCCCCCCATCCTACCCTTTCCTGGTGCATTGCCTGGCGCCGCGTATGCTTGCTCGCCCCCCTACCCTCCCTCGCCCCTCCTTCCCTCCTCATCTTTTCACCTTGCCCCCCCCGCTCTTCATCTTTCTTCGCTGAGCTGCCCAGCGCCCCACCAGGCGCCTCGCCCAGCACCGCGTCGCCCGCGGGCGCGCCCAGCACGCCCCCCCCTCCTTCCCCTGCCGCCGCGGGCCCCAGTCAAGGCCAGCGCCTTCGCCTTTGCCTCTGCCTTCGCTTTCGCTGCAGCTGCCTCTGCTCCGTACAACGCCTTGGCAACGACCCCATACCGCTGACACCTTTCGGCAGGACTCCGCCCAGCGCACCGGAAGAAGCGCTCGACGGACGTAATGGAACCCCAGCGCCCAGAGATAGCGCGGGGGCAGATCTTGAGGAACTGATTCGCATCCTGAATGTTCCTGTGTTTCTGCAGCCAGAAGCGATGAAGCGCTCGAGGGCGGTCGCGGGCAAGGTTCGCCATCTTGGCCTCGTGCTTTGTTTACGCCCTAACCCCCTTCAAATTCCCGGCCTCAGAGCTCTCTGGAATGTCCAGAAATCCCGAGACCGTCCTCATGCCCGGCCGCCTCCTGCTCCTCCTCCTCCTCCTCCTCCTCTTCCTCCTCCTCCTCCTCCTCCTCCTCCTGCTCCCTCCCCCATCCCTCGCCTCCCTCCGATCCCTCCCCCGTCCTCCCCCATCCTCCTCCTTCTCCCGCGCCCCCCATCCCGCCGCTCGTCCTCCAGGGACGAGGGGGAGAAATGGGGGGCGAGGGGCCAGAGCGGCAGAGTGGCCGCCCAGGCGCGGGCCCCAGAAGAGTCGATGGACCGTTGACGGCCCTCGGTGGGACGGGGGGGGCGACGAAGACAACGACCCCGCGGTCCAGTGTTGAGAAGTATCTCCAACCCTTCCCCATCTCAGCCAGCACTGCGTCAAGTCGCGCAATGCCTTCGCGAACTCCAAGATGAGCTTGGTGCTTAAAGCATGGGGGCCTGATGTGATAGCACCTGCCCTGAGGATACATCAGGGTGGACAGAATCTTGGAGGCGCACACCTCGTCCGACCCGCTGTCGGCGCACTGGAAAAAGCCGAACGTCTGTCAGGGCCCCGCAATGATACCCACCGGCCCCGCTGGAGACCCCCCGAGCGAAGATGCGAGGGTGGGAAGGATGGAGGTTGGGAAGAGGGAGGTTGAGGTTGAGGAGTAGGGGTGTGGAGATGAGGGCGGGGTGGAATGGCCGCCCTGCTGCCTGCTGCTCTGCGGCACATCCGCCAACTCTGGCCCCTCCCGCCCCCCCCCCCCCAAAAAAAAAAAAAAACATTCCCGCGCCTCGCGAAACAAACTTCCCCTCCCCCTTGGTCCAGGCACCTGGTCCAGAGCGCGGACGTCGACGCCCGCGAGCTCGGCAGCCTTGAGGCGGCCGAGTATCTCCTCCCATCCAGGGCAGTTGAGCGAGGAGAGCTGCTTTGCCGTCATTGCCAGACTGTGGACGCCAGCGCTGCCGATCGATGCAGTGATGTCGGCCATCTTCGACTGTCGCATCGTGCATCGGCCCCGCCACCCCGCCGTCAGCCCACCGCGGATTTCTGCTGCCAGCTTGTCGATATCATAGTACGACGACAACACTCGACAGCTACGGATTTTCTGGTTTTGCCAGACCCCCCCATTGGTCGCATCAGTTTTCATCGTGGTCATGAAGACGTTGAATGTCTCCGCTATCTCACCGCAGGGCAGGGACGTCAACCGCATGCCGCGAGCGTCAAGCGGCCAACGGTCAAACGGCCAACGCTCCTCGATCTCCTCGCCTCTCTCCTCCTCCATCTCCTCCTCCTTCTCCTCGGATGCCCGCGGAGCCTCCTCCGGGGGCGGCAGGGGCGGCAGATCGGGGGGCTCCCCTATATCCTCATCGCCTTCGCCAGCAGGCGCGGGCGGCAAGGGCAGCGGGGGAACGGCCGCGCCTGGCCCTTCCGCCACCTCGCCTTCGCCAGCAGGCAGCAATTGCAATGGAGGGGGGAGCCATTCACAAGATTTGGCGGCCTTGGCGGACGCCGCAGCGCCGTCGTCGTCAAGCAAAGTGATCGCGGGCATGAGGTCGGAGAGGTCGCAGGCCCCATCGATGAGGACCCCAGGTTTGTCGAACATGTCGGCCTGGGCGGGGCGCCGGAGGAAGGGGGCAGGGAGTGGCCGAGAGAGATGATGGGGGAGGCAGCAAGCGAAAGGAAGAGAGAGAGAGAGAGAGAGAGAGAGAGAGAGAGAGAGAGAGAGAGAGAGAGGGAGAGAGAGAGAGAGAGAGAGAGAGAGAGAGAGAGAGAGAGAGAGAGAGAGAAAAAAAAAAAAAAAAAAGAGAGGGAGAGAGGAGAGAGAGAGGTATAGAGATAGAGAGGAGAGAGGGGATAGAGAGAGGAAAACAAAAAAAGGAAAGAAAGAAAGAAAAAACGATAAAAGAAAATAAATTAAAGAAAGAGAAAGAGGGAAAAGAGTGAAGAGAGAGAGAGAGTAGAGAGAGAGAGAAGGAGAAAGAGAGGAGAACAGAAAGAGAGAAAGAGAAGCGCGAGAGAGAGAGAGAGAGAAGAGAGAGAGAAGAGAAAGGGAGAGAGGAGAGAAGAGAGAAGAAAGGAGAGAGAGAGAGAGAGAGAGAGAGAGATAGAGAGAGAAAAAAAAAAAAAAAAAAAAAAAAAAAAAAAAAAAAAAAAAAAACAGAGAGGGAGAGAGAGAGAGAGAGAGAGATCGGACAAGTAGGCGGACCAGGGTCCGTCCGCGAGGCGCACTGCGGTGCGACAACTCGCCAGGCACTATTAGCGGCGGTGCAGCCTTAAGATACGAGGGCGGGCAACAAAACCCCCTCCCCCGGCGCAATGCGACAGACGCTACAGACGGCGGACAGACGGTGAAGATCTCACATGTCAGACCGCGTGAGGAAAGAGGCCCCAACAAGGAAGGCGACGTGCTGACGCGTGGCTAGGCGGCTCGGCAGACCGCCAGTTGGGCGCTCGACCGCAAGGCGGCGCGCAGGGACGGGGCACCCCCCGCCCCCACGCCCTGACACCGTGGACGCGGAGCCACGCGTACACACGGGCAGGCAGAAAGGATGGAATTAGCGCGGGGCACCAGGTGGAGCGCCGCGAAGGGATGACAGCATAGCTTGGATGGTGAGCGGCGGCACCGCGCCATCGGGCGAGGGCGTAAGCAGCTCGGCGAAGGCGCGCCCTGCGCGGTGGAGGCGCTGGAGCAGAGGGCCTTGACGGGCTTGAGCAGCGGCAAGGTCGGCAGCGAGAGCAGCGCACCTCTGCCGAAGAGCGGCCATAGCCTGAGAGAGCTCGGCTTCGCGGTCGGTGAGGGGCGGCTGTTCAGCGGCAGCGGCCGCGGACCTCGTGGCAGGGACGAGGCCGTCAGTGCGCCTGGCCAGGTGGTGGCCTAGCGCAGTACAGCCCTCCGTGTGCTGATGGCCGTCACCTATGAGGGACGACTGAAGGGTAACACGCGGCCCCAGGGCTGGAGCCGCTAGGGCCGAGCCCCGTGAGGACGGAAGAGCCACGTCCTCGCGCCCAACAACAGAGGCAGCGTGGACAGGGTGCGACGGCCTGACTGGCTCAGTGCCCTGCGGGGGGGCTGGAGCCGCCCCCGCGGGCTGGCGCAGGTGAGGGGACGGAGTGGGTGACACGGTAGGACCTATCATGATGCCGTGTGAGGGTTCGGAGGTCGGCCGCGTAGTCGGGTGGCGTCTCGGAAGGGCGGCATCGTCGGTGGCGTGTGGGGTCGGCGGAGCGTCGTCTATGCTGCCACTCAGTCCGAGGGGTGCACCCAGGTCATCTTCGGCGTCTTGACGGTGAGCGACATCATCATGTGGGTGCGATGTCGCTCTCGGTGGCGGAGTCGCGGTAGGCGTCGAGAGGTTGCCCGACGGGGCAGGGTTGGCGCTGGCTGGGCCGTCGTCCAAGAAGTCCAATCCCCCACCGAAGCCGAACGGGTCGTCCTCCTGTACATCGAGCATAGCCCGTTGAGCTTCAACCCAGAGCACATCCGGGTCTTGCGGGATGAAAGGTCCAGCCGCGGGTGGTGCCTGGTCCGAGAGCAGGGGGTTTGGTTCCATTTTGCTGAGTTCCGCAGCTGTAAACCCAGCCCTGCGGTGTGGGAGCGGCAGAGTGCGGTGTCTGGGCTCGTAGATAGCGACAGCGACCCCCTGGAGCACGGTCGATTGGCGATGTCGTGTTTTGGCAGCTTCGACGATGTCGTCAGGAAGGTTGTGAGTGCGTGCCGCCATTGTGGCGAGGGTGTCGGCCTGACGGTTGAACTCCTCCGCAATGGGCCCGATGAGCCCAAGGTCGATGCCCGTATCACCCAGGTGGCTGGCGTTTTTTTCGACGCGAAACATGTTGGGCTTGGCCATAACACATCGGTGGATCTTTTCCCAGAGAAAAGCAAAAAAGAAAACAGAAAAAAAAATAAAAAAGATCAAAGAAAAAAAAAAAAAACAAAAAAGAAAGAAACAAAAAAAAGACCAAAAAAAGGAGGAAGAAAAAAAAACATAAAAAAGAAGAAAGAGAAAAGAAAAAGCTCCGCGTTGCGTGCCCTGCGGCGCTGAATTCCCGTCGATGATGCTTTGGAACCCGTCGACCACCGCCTGGTTGTCCACGAAAACGTGCACGGGCCGTTCGGCACATGCCGTAAGGTGGACAATGGCGAGGGTCTCCGCAACCTGGGCGTTCTGCGTTAGGCCGTGAACACGTGCACTGTAGTTCATGCGGTGGTCGATGCCGTAGTAGACGCCGTAGCCCGCTCGTGCAAGCAATGGGATGGCTTGGTTGGTACATGCACCGTCCGTGGCAGCATAGACCCATGTCCAGCCAGTGTCGCGGTCAAGGTAGGTGGTGTAGGTGTCCTGGGCTGAAGCCGCAGGATCTCCCTCAGGAGGGGGCCGCGGCATGGGCTGTGGCAGCGGGTCCCTCGCGAGGTCGGCCTGCAGGTCGAGGAGGGTTGGGTCTTCGTCGAAGAGCCCGCAGTGTCTAGTGTGCGGCGGAAAACGGGCCCACTGGTCGTCGCTGATGAGGGTGGTGAGAGGGAGTCTTTCACGGGCCCAGCACTTGCAGTCGCGGACAGTGTGCTCCTGAGTTTCCTCTTCCTCGTCGCAGTATCGACAGATGGGGCTGGGGTCTGCCGACGTGTTTGATCGGGATCGTCGCTGCTGGGTGTGATCCCCGCCCGACAGGTAGTCCAGGAGGAGCGCCAGCTGCCACGCAGTGCATTTGGCTGCTCCTTTAGTTCGGGCGAGCCACGTGCTGGCAAAGAGGTCGAGGCCCTGTCTGACAGAGGCTAAGTAGCCAAGGTCGTGTCGCCGTGGCTTGATCCTCCGCAGAAAAGCCCTGCGTTGCGAGGCCCGAAGCATGTGCAGGAAGGCATTATGGGGAAGATTCAGCCAGCTGATCTGGCAGCCCCAGTCATCGTACATGATGCCAAATGTGGGCCAGGTCCATCGGAGCTGCTGGAGCGACTGGACTAGTCGTCCGACGGGTCCTCCACCAAGCAGGGTCTGGACGTGGTGTTGGAGGTCTCTGGCGAGCCCGCAGAGTGTAACATCACGGTTGACCTGACGCTGCAGGCACAGGAATGCTTCACGCTGCGTGATGGCGTCGATCTCCAGGGCGTGTCCTGGGACGCACACGGCCATGAGAGTCCAGAACTCGACCCACTTGTTCCCCTTGGGGCGTATAGCCGCCTTGAGGGCGTGGTTGTAAGCAGTTCTGGCTGGGCCTGATGGTGCTTGAATGTCGGTGCCCGTGGTGCAGACACTGGCAGCCAGGGAGCGGACATGCCGCGCCTTGATGAGCATCGGCGGTGGGAGCTTGCCAATGCGCGGCAGGCGAATGGTCGCCCTCCGAACACGGGCGTCAGCGGTGGCCGTGAGGTTAAGCGCGGCTGGAGCCGGCGCTGCCTCTGCGTTGATGTAACTCCCGACGAGCTTGAAGGAATCGACCACACGTAGGGGGCGCTCCGCCAGTGTGAGCTGGGTAACGGCGGCGTGAAGCTCGTCGGTGAGCGCCCACCCTGCCACTTTGCCAGGGTGAATGCGTTGACCTGAGAATCGATCAAACTTGGCGGTTTCGTCAAGAGATTTCTGCAGCTCAGACGCGGTGTGGGTAGTGGAGTTGCTGTCGTCAACAAAGGTAGTGCTGAGTGATCGAGGAACGTATCGATGCTGCCTCTTTGTTCACACGCACATGAGCAGCTTGATGTCGTCCAGGGACCACGAGCTTCCCTGAAGGTGACCGTTAGTCCTGGCCAAGTCCTTAGAGTACGCTCCGTTCATGCGGATGTAGCGTTTGTGGTGTCTGTAGAAATTTCGGCGGACAATAACGATGTCTTGAGGGCACCCCGCGTGCAGCGCAAGGTTAAGGCAGATGTCCGTGATGAGGTAGTCGAAGCACTTCTGTCGGTCAAGGGCAGCTCCAGCTAAGGGGAGGAGTAAAGCCCTGGCGTGCTCGATGCGCAGGGCGAGAGAGGTGCTGACATCCCCAATGGTGGCTTTGGGAACAGCGCCGAAGCTCGTGGCATGGGTCCATCCTTGCCGCCAGGTCGTGAGGCTACGGTAGGCTGGCGCTTCCCACGCATACATCCATACGGAAAGAACCGAGAAGTCGTTGGTCCGTCGGGAGTTCCCCTCGGCCTTTTCGGAGGCACGGGTTTGGCACGTGCAGGAGGGGCTCGGGGATGGTGCCAGTGCGTTGCATAGCACGTAAGACGCTGGCGAAGAGGCGAAGGATGTCGTCGGGTAGCTCCTTAGCCTCCTTAGTTGTCCAGCCGTCGAAATAAAAATATAAAATAAAGCCCCCCCCGAACGGTGCGGGTGAAACGGGTGCGAAATGAATTGAAATGAAGTTTGGTCATCGGGTGATGTGGAAAGGGGCTGCTGGTGAATGGCGTAAGGCAGCTCTTGTCGTACTCGTGTAAGAGAGAGAGAGGGAGAATAAGAGAGAATCGAGAGAGAGAGAGGAGAAGGATAGGAGAGAGAGATATAGAGAGAGAGAGAGAAGAGTAGAAGAGGAAGAGAGAGAGAGAGAGGAGCAGAGAGAGAGGAGAAGAGAGAGATCAGAGAGAGAGAGAGATTCGGACCAAAAGTATAAAAAAGTACAAGGGGGGTGGGGGGC